ATCCGCACGACGCGGCTTGCCAACGTATTTGACGGATTTCTTTCAAGTAGAATTTTTCGAGATCGAGATCAACCATCGAAGAACCCCCTCGATCATCGGCAAGCCGCGTCGCGCGAACAGGAAATCGAGATTTCCGGGTCGCGCGATACGTTGCGCTCGCGAAGCTTCCGGCTCGTAACGCGAGGCTGTCCGCCTGACGTCGGCGACGAAGAGCAACGACGACGAAAGAACGGAAAGACGAAGAAACTTATAAACAGAGAAGAAACGATAAAACAGAAAAAAAACAACAACGTAGACTTACTTAAGAGAGAACAAAAATCAACGAACATAGAGACCATAGATTTTGGAAAAGAAAACGATGCGAATCGTATCGAAACGAAGTGGAAGAAGAAAGATATAAAACAAAGTTAACGAGAAAGAGAAGAGAAGAGAAGAAAGAAAGAAAGAAAGAGAGGGAGAGAAAGATAGATAGATGAATAGGTAGATAGATAGATAGATAGATAGATAGATGGATAGATAGATAGATAGATAGATAGATAGATAGATAGATAGATAGATAGATAGATAGATAGATAGATAGACAGATAGAGAAAGAGAGTGAGAGAGCGAGTAACAGAAATATAGAGAGATAGAGAGAGGAGAAATATACAGATGTACAAAGAAGTTACAGAGAGCAGTATACAGAAGTATAGAAAAAACAGAAACAGTTCTCTCGGATAGTCGGCTTAGTTTTACAAAATGTTCTAAAGTTGTTTGGTGGTTTGGCTTTACCTTAAACAGCTGTACCCCGATAACAGCGAACATGAACTGTAGGAGATAGGTGACCAACATAATGTTGCCGATCGTTTTAATGGCGACAATCACACACTTCACTACGTACTTTTTACGTAGTTGGTTGAAGGGCAGGTGAGCATTGGGCGAGCGAGCACAGCGGGGAGAACACGGGATCGTGAGACAGACAGACGATAAGAGAAAACAAAAAAAATATACAAAGTAGCATTAATCGTGGGGGTGTTCTGCTAAGTAATATTCGCTTTCTGGAGAAAAAGTGTGGCGGTACAGGACGCTCGCGAGGTCGTGGTGCAACCGGTGAAAGGGTGAATGTACTGGTAAAAGTGAGTGAAAAATTTCGAATAAAAGTTTCATGCGTTAATATTTGTAATCATAGCCGTGATTATCGTAATCATTATAATTACAATTATTGCAATTGCACTTATTAGAATTATAACGATTAATATTCATAATAAGTAGAAGTAACAAGTCATGGACAAACGTATCAACTGATTCATATTGATTAACACAAGTATTGATCAACTTTCAGACGTGATTATCTCAAAGACGAAGTAACACATGAAACAATGTTATTCCACATTTTCTACTTAGTTTTCACGTAGAACAATTTACTTCCCAGTTGCACCGCGATATCGGCGATACCATGTACATCTTTAATGGGCGGGTATTGTGTGACACTCGAAACGGGCTAGCTCAGGGTTCTCTAAAAAAAGGTCGTTTTAGTGGTGGCTAGTGAGGGCTAAGGGTTTGGTGGGGCAAGATGGGTGGTTGGGTCTAGGGGTCTATAGTCTGTCTAACGAGACGAGGCACCAAACATAAACAAAACATTGACGAGCTGAGCACGGCGATTGGCCGGCACGTACGGTTGCCTCAGTTGCAGCCAAGTTAACTACCGTACATTTTTGTTTACGTCTAAACTCAATATAGACGAACGACTTCTTATCGGCGTTGCCGTGTCTTTCTGTCATTTTCGCTACCATCTTCTTTCACAGAAAATTACAATGACAGTATACAACGACCAAAGTCGCAACGCCAGAGAGAAGTCGTTCGTCTACGCCGATCTTTGCTGCCTGATGCCGCTGGACAGACTACAGAAGTCGGGAAGCTATCAGCGAACGTAATCTTTCAACGATTTCGCGTTTCTCGTTCGTTGGCCTTCTCCGATCGGTTTCCTCAATTCTCGAACGTTTCTCTGAGACCATTTCGTCCCTGCACGAGTTTCACGGGAAACGGACGCGACCAGCGTTCATTCTAGCCGATCGTTGCTGTACCGATCCTCTAATCGCTCTGATCCTCCCGCGAATCGTCCGAACTACCGGCTCTATAAACGATGCTCGCATCGTTTTCTAGTGTCTCTTATTTCCCCGTCCTCCTCTCCACCTGATCCCGATTTCGAGCGTCGACCCTGAGACCCGAGAGACCTCAACTGAGCAATCGTGAACCAAGCCCTCGCCATCCATCCAACCCACCAGTGCTCGATTGTTTTAATTCCTCGGCAATGCACCTATGGGCCTCCGTCGGAGAATATCGAGCCCCTGGATCCGTCGGGCGATCTTCTCCTCGTCGCTCGAGAGCGGATCGACTTCGCGTGTCGGTGAACGTCGGAAATCGTCCAACGGTTCCGACGTTAATAGAGTCCACGGGTTCTGCCACTATTTAGACGCGGGCCACGGTGCCTGGGTCTATTTTCGGCTGCTTTCTAGTGTTCTAGGCCTGCGATGGTCGATCTCCTTTGATAAGCATTTATTTCGGATGAAGAACCTATTACTTCTTGAATAATGGGTGTGTAGTCTATTCTCGGCTCTGATAATTGGGGGTCTAACGAGACCTAGACACCGTCGCCTGCAAATCGGAAACGCCAGCCTTTCGGTTAACGCTACACCGCGGACCGAGAACACGCGAAGTAACCTTTCACCCTTTGCACTACTATTTGGTCGGGCAACATTCAGGCCAGAAATCTAGCGACCGATATCTAGCGATATTTATGTTTCGCCTGAAATTGCGACTTCGAGTCTCACTCGTGACATCCGTTATTTGGTCCAAAATTGCGGTCAGAAGTGAGATTCGCCGAAGTAGTGCAAGGGGTTGAAGGTTCTGCTCCGCCGATCGATGTTTTTTCTTCAGACCTTAACGTTCTTTGCCAAGTGGTTCTTAAGACCGTTGGAATGTCAGTCGAGGGGACTTAATTGGCTCATTCGAAAGCACCCTTTCCCGAGCGACGGAACGTCAACCATTAGCACCCCCTCGAATTCGAACCAGACATTCGATCCAGCATCCTCGAGATCCTGCGGCGGTCGAAGTCGATCCTTCAACGAGTTCCGCGAATCGACGCGACCGAGACATGACTCGCTTTTGACGACACTCGCGTTCATTGTTACTGTTGTCAGTATGCATTCGTTAATAATTATTCGGAATAGTTGAACGCAAACGTAGATCGTCTTGTCTGGACAGCGACAGCTGATTCGGTTCGAAATCGTAGAAACAGCGAACTCATAAAAACGTGTCTTGGTTTAAATGTTTTATAATGTTTTATGAGAATTGAATAAATTCATTTTTTAAACGATGACTTGTTTTTATTTTATAAGTCTCTTCTACTTTTTCCGTTGAACGCTGCTGACCGTGAAACGCATGGGTGTAGATATATATAGATTCATGAGTGTGCGTTATAGTGTGCATAGTGGCCAAGCGACTGACACGCGGCGAACTACGGCACGCGCTCTCTCGACTAATTACCGCGGAAAAACAGATTCCGTCTACGTCTAATTTCAGTGCAACGACGAAACTTCCTATAGAAACACAGACTACGCTACGAAAAAATCATCTAACTCTGCGTCTCGTTTTGTTGCGCTTGCGTCTAAATTCGCTCGTTCGCTTCTGCGAGATATCGCAAAGTATACGCCGCGTTTCTTGGGATAGGAAGGAGAATGATAGGGGCTGCGAGAGAGAAACCTCTGAAAAGCAACGGTCCAAGTGATTTTCCGACGAAAAACACTCGGAACTAACCGATCCTCGCGCATCGTTCCGTTTCGAATAATTCATCTCTGCGACCTCGTTGATCCTTAATAATAAAATCACCGTTCAATTGAATTTTAATGAATCGTCGGATGACATTTTCGATATCGCGGAAATATTTCGAATAATGAAATGATTGAATAATAAAATTATTATAAAATTATAATAAATTGATAAGAAAATTATTCGAAACAATGAATAGCCTCCGTTTTAACTAGTTGCTCATGTTGGACTGGTTAAAGTCACAAAATGTTTGTTGAACAATCGACTAAACGATGCAGAAGGTTTGAATGAAAGGTCCGTGTGAAAGATCCGTGCGAAAGATGCACAGTTCTTTGTTATTGAAGATCGTCACAGCCAAAATTACTGTTCGTTTCGTTTCATCTCATTTTTATATCGCTTTGCCGCGATACATCGCATTCGCAGCGATCAAAAGAACGCGTTTGAGAAGACTGAAAAGGTAAATCGTCCTGGTGCGAAAGGCCACTCGATTTCCTTCCTCCTTTTCACTTTCTCAGTTTCTTCCTTGAAACTTGTCGGTACTCGAGATTTCACGAGAATTCACGGGATTGCCCTTCCTTCCTTCCTTTCTTTCTTTCTTTCTTCCTTCCTTCCTTCCTTCAT